ATGGTCGGGGCCGTCTCTAGAGGGGGAGCCAGAGCCGAGCTGTGCTTGTCTGTACGGAACATGCAGCCGCTGCGGGAAGTTCTCTGGGGAGCGAGGTGAAGTTTGCATGGAAACTGCTTTCCTGCAACAGCCTTTAACATCTGGAATTGCAGCAGGCCTGCATCAAACCTCTTGCAAATTTAAATGTTGTGGTTAGTGATTTGGAGATAGCAGCCGAGCGTCGTACCGCAGACTTTAACCCAGCAGAAGACAAGCTGCCCCGAGGCCTCGGGTTGTCCAAAACTATTCTCTCCCATGTTCTTTGAATTGCAGTCAGTTGTGCTCTCTTTTCTTCCATAGAGGAATGCAGGGCTCTGGTTTTTCCACATTTCAACAGCCTTTTGGAGCCAGAACCTTCGGAGCGTGTTGGGGTTCAGCATCCCCATTCTCTTGTCATCGCTCGTACTGAAGCCAGAGCAGCTGCAAACCTATTTCAAAGAAATGAAAAACTACATTGGGTCTTCCCTGCAGGTACCAGGCCTTGGAGCTGGTTGGGTCAAACTGTGCTAGTCTTACTGCTTTGTGTAATTCACTGCTTTGTGGACTTGCTGCTGTAAGTAAAACCAGCTGATCTAGCAAATGGCTTCTCTCATTGGAGATCAAACTTTCTTGGCTTGTTTTCTGTTAATGTGCGCTCTTCCTACCAGGGCAAAGAAGCGTTCTTTCACAAAAAGGGAAGAACCACTGCTTACGGCTGAAATTTATCTGTGTACTCTACCAAAGAGTTACAAGTAAATAAGTTCATTAAAGTTGTTTTGTTCACAAGCAGAAAAACAAGCTAAATTTACCAAGTGATTCATTCTAAATAACGCTGGCTGCCAGTGAAGTACGGCGGCAGCTGGTAGCAACAGGCTCTGGAAGGCTGGGTCTAGGCTTTATTAACGGGTGTATTTTGTGCTTGAACTCACGCCAAGGAGCAGAGCTCCACTGAATGAGCTACGGATCGTCCTTTCCCTGAGATAAAAATGAGAGAGGGAGGGCTGTTGTGTAGAAATCATCAGATTTTTATATAGGCTTTTGGTTTTTTGGTATCTGTATCATAGCAGGTTGGAGTTTTCAGCAGTGCACTCCTAAATGTGTATTAAATCAGGAAAGGCTGTGGGTTTCTTTCATGTAGCACACGTGTTCATGTCTAACCCTTCGCTGAAGCATTTGGTGTCCCATCTGCTGGCGTCCAAGAATCTCCTTGTTCCCTCTTTGCCCTGGCTTGTTCCTGTGTTACTACCATAGCTTCTTACAAAGAACAGGCTCAGAGGAAAGTAACACGATTCTGTGTTTTGTTGTTTAAGGGAAGTAATAGTTCAGCCTTTTGTTTGTAATGATCTCTTCTTTTGGAAGCCTTCTTTGTATCTCCGACTCTCTAAGTCAACTTCTGAACATGAAGAGTGCAAAATGAGATCCTAAACGGCGTGACGTAGGCCTCCATCGTCGCTCAACGGCGTGACGTAGGCCTCCATCGTCACTCAACGGCGTGATGTAGGCCTCGATCATTGCTCAACTTCTGGTTTGTTGCAAGTTGTGTCTCTCCTTAGATGAGAAACAGGGGAGGCAATTTTGATAGGCCTGTCATCTGTGTTCATATATAAGCAAATTCAGTGTGAGTTGGGCAGTGTGGTTCCTAGCCTAGCCTATCAGAAGGTAGTGCAGGTGGTTTTCCTCCTTCGGAAGGCTCCTTCAGCACCTTTGCAGAGCTCTGCACCCAGGCACTGAGTGGGAAACTTCTTGGTTGCAGAGCTCCGCAGCACTTCCAGCCTCGGTGTGCCGTCCCGCGCTCTTCTCGGGGAGCAGAACAGCTCCACGCAAACCGCACCGGTGTACGAGATGGAACATCTAGCGTTTCTGGCGTTGAGTCATATAGTCGCTTCTGTATCCAAGAGATCTTCCAAGGCTAGGGCTGTTTGAATGGTAGATGCCATGCGTACCAGGAATGACAGCCTCACATACGTTAGACCGCCAAAATACCTGGGGGTTCGTGGCAGCTCGTGGTAAGAAACGTGCTGCTTCGCCAAGGCCTTGTCTAAATGTGTGCAGGTCATGGTAACACAGATGGAAACAAGGATGCCTCTCAAGGACAAATAGGAACGTAAAGTATTGTACATTAAAATGAGAAATTAAATGTCCGTTTCGGTCTATACGAGGACTCCTTTGCCTTTTGGCGTCGTTTTTGGCTTTGTTCTGATAAAAATACAATTTTTGCACACTAGAGACAGCCTGTATTGGCCAACGTCTGAATTTTGACTTCAGAAAAACAAAGTCACCGGTAGTATGGGGGGCTGATACAGCTTAGACAGAATCTGATTCTCAAACAAAATGACAATCAAGTAAAGTTAAATGCGATGCCAGAGGTGGGCGTTTACCTTTAAATGTGTGTTTTGTAACGTGTACTTTACCCCCTTGCAGGAACCTGAACAGGCAGTGGAAGAGCGCAAGCGATGGCAGAGCACGGGCTGGGTATCTGCTTCCTCCTGTTAACTGTGGGGCTCTGCTGGGCCCAGTACAACCCCAACGCTCGGGCCGGGCGGACGTCTATCGTGCATCTCTTTGAGTGGCGCTGGGCCGACGTCGCTCTTGAGTGCGAGCGCTATTTAGCTCCTAACGGGTTTGGAGGAGTTCAGGTACGTCTGCTCCGATCAGTGGGGCGTAAAATTGTTACATCGACGGTAATTTGTTTTTTCAGAGAAAATGTTCAATTCGCCAAAGGACAGGTACTGAGAAAGAAAAATAGAAATTGGTAATGGAAGTGGTAAATGCTGACAAATTTATTCTTCAGCCATCATCGTGTAAGTGTGAATTTATTTCATCGCTCCAAAGTGCATGTTTTGCGCTCTGTGCTATTACATTTGGATGAATTAGAATTACATATCACTGGCTAAGGTGGTGGGTTTGGGGTTTTTTTATTGCTGTGAAGAGTAACCTGCGTTCATCTGCTTGATACTGCTTAAATCAAGGGAAGTTGTTAAGAGCTAGGTAAACAGAAAATGAAACTGTGACTGGAAAAAAGGGCTCCCAAAGAGAATACCAAAGCACTGAAGGTTTTCAATTAATATAAAAGGCTGCTAATTGCGTTCACCCAAACTGGCAAGCCCGGTGTCAGAGTAAGCCGTGAGGAGACCCTTCCGTGCAGAAACCCGGGGCGAGCAGACGTCCGTTTCGGTCTATACGAGGACTCCTTTGCCTTTTGGCATCGTTTTTGGCTTTGTTCTGATAAAAATACAATTTTTGCACACTAGAGACAGCCTGTATTGGCCAACGTCTGAATTTTGACTTCAGAAAAACAAAGTCACCGGTAGTATGGGGGGCTGATACAGCTTAGACAGAATCTGATTCTCAAACAAAATGACAATCAAGTAAAGTTAAATAAATGCGATGCCAGAGGTGGGCGTTTACCTTTAAATGTGTGTTTTGTAACGTGTACTTTACCCCCTTGCAGGAACCTGAACAGGCAGTGGAAGAGCGCAAGCGATGGCAGAGCACGGGCTGGGTATCTGCTTCCTCCTGTTAACTGTGGGGCTCTGCTGGGCCCAGTACAACCCCAACGCTCGGGCCGGGCGGACGTCTATCGTGCATCTCTTTGAGTGGCGCTGGGCCGACGTCGCTCTTGAGTGCGAGCGCTATTTAGCTCCTAACGGGTTTGGAGGAGTTCAGGTACGTCTGCTCCGATCAGTGGGGCGTAAAATTGTTACATCGACGGTAATTTGTTTTTTCAGAGAAAATGTTCAATTCGCCAAAGGACAGGTACTGAGAAAGAAAAATAGAAATTGGTAATGGAAGTGGTAAATGCTGACAAATTTATTCTTCAGCCATCATCGTGTAAGTGTGAATTTATTTCATCGCTCCAAAGTGCATGTTTTGCGCTCTGTGCTATTACATTTGGATGAATTAGAATTACATATCACTGGCTAAGGTGGTGGGTTTGGGGTTTTTTTATTGCTGTGAAGAGTAACCTGCGTTCATCTGCTTGATACTGCTTAAATCAAGGGAAGTTGTTAAGAGCTAGGTAAACAGAAAATGAAACTGTGACTGGAAAAAAGGGCTCCCAAAGAGAATACCAAAGCACTGAAGGTTTTCAATTAATATAAAAGGCTGCTAATTGCGTTCACCCAAACTGGCAAGCCCGGTGTCAGAGTAAGCCGTGAGGAGACCCTTCCGTGCAGAAACCCGGGGCGAGCAGACGGGACTGAGCCGAGGACGGGTTCTGGCGGAGGCGCGTCGATGCGAATCTGCCCCATCTGAGCAATGGGCACCCCTGGTGTCAGATGGCTGGGGTGGTGCGGTGGGGGGTGGTCGCCTATTAAACTATTGGAGCTTGTCCGACTGCTCAGGAGAAACTGGTGGGAGAAGCCTGCCTGTCTCCTGTAGCCCAGGAGTTCCCACGTTGGCCCCAGTGAGAACTTTCCCGTAGTTTTCAAATAACACATCTTTTCTTTGCAACCTTCTTTCCAGGCACACAGGCCTGATGGGTTTTTAAACTGATTTCTCGGGCTGTGGTATACGCTTGGATGTCTCTTTAATCTGTGCTCTGACAGGGTCTCGGAAAGAAAGGTTTTTCAGACAGAGACTTGCCGAGGCGGTGGCACGGGCATGGCAGCTGAGCGGGCTGCAGCCTGCGGACCGTTGGGAGAAACAGTCCTCTAGGATGGGGGGAAACGGCCTCGAGTTGTGCCAGGGCAGGGTGAGGTTGGCCATGGGGAACAATTCCTTCCCCTTGGGGCTGTCAGGCACTGGAAGGGGCTGCCCAGGGAAGGGGTCGAGTCCCCAGCCCTGGGGGGATTTAACAGCCGGGCAGAGGCGGTGCTGAGGGCCAGGGTTTGGGGGTGGGATGGCAGGGGTAGGGGAGTGGTTGGGCTGGGGGAGCTTAAAGGGCTTTGCCAACCTCAACGATTCTATGAAACCGTGGGATCAGGTGCTGCTGCAGAAGCTTGGAGGCAGCAGCAAAAGCTTGTCGCCAGAAGAGCATCCTGGAAAGGGTCTGTACAAAGAAGCGGTACAGCTTTTCTGGAAACTGTGACAAAGTCTCACATCAAGAACACTTTTATCCAAAACATTGCAAGAACGGGAAGTTGGATCGATTTTAAGGGCAGGGTGTTACATTGGTTGTTCTGCACTCGGTTCCTTCCAGATTCTGGATTATCTCTGCTGGCCTAGTCCTTCAGATATCAGACCCTTCTTTTGATCTTTGAGGCCTGCATTCATGAAGATAATTAGGATGCTACATCCATGGACATCATTTTTATAGTATGTTTCTACCTGCTGAAGGTCCAGGCCAGAGTCTTTTATTTCCAGTCCGTTAGAGTGTGAGCAGAGGATATCCAGGTTCTACGTGGGTGAGGTGTTGTGAGCATCTTCCGTCAAAGGGACACGATTTTCTATTTTAATGTTTTTTCTCTAACAATACTGGGCAAACAAATAAGCCATTATCAGTATCCTATTACCAAGAGACACCGTCTTGTTCACAGATTTCACCTCCAAATGAAAATGTTGTCATTACGGACCCCTGGCAGCCGTGGTGGGAGAGATACCAGCCCGTCAGCTACAGGCTCTGCACGCGATCTGGAAATGAAACGGAATTTAGAGACATGGTGACCAGGTGCAACAACGTTGGAGTAAGTGCCTCGAAAACCTTCTGGTGTTAACAGTGCAAGGAGCCAGCCGGTAATCCAGAAGGGAGGGCACGGTAGCACTGGAGTGAAGATGGGGGGGTGGTTCTGCCTGTCTGTTGAGATGCACGTTGACACCGTTGCTGTGTGGTAAAAAAAGAGAAATGTTTTAAATAATCGCAAGCAAGCAGAAATGGGGGGACAGGGCAGAAGGTAAGAGAGCCAGAACATGAGTTAGTGGTGCCGTGGGAAGTGGCTTTCTCTAATCGGGCTGTGAACGCTGTTCTCTAGGTACGTATTTATGTGGATGCAGTGATCAACCATATGTGCGGAGCCAGCGCTGGCACTGGTGACCACGCTACTTGTGGAAGCTATTTCAATGCAAAGACTAAAGATTTTCCAGCTGTGCCGTATTCCGGCTGGGACTTTAACGATGGTAAATGTAAATCTAGAAGTGGTGACATTGAGAATTATCACGATATATATCAGGTAAGCCTACAACTATAAATATAATTTTCACGTACATCCTGGGCTGTGGTTCCTTTGCTCCCTTATACTGTGAGGCATTTTTTAAAAGCAAAACAAAACAAACCCCCTCGTGGAAAACCACCCAAACTGATAACAGGGGTTAGCTTGCTACCAGGAGCGCCACTTCTTAAAGGGATAGCTCTGCTTGAGCCGACGGCTTAATTTCAGATTTGGACAAATGGGCTTAGGTGCTTTGTAAAGACAGTTTTAAAGCTCATAAAAGCTATTTAGGGATTACCTTGTGGGGGCTTTTTGTATTTTTTTTAAAAAAAGGCAAGAGTTATTTTTTGCCTTTTATAGTAATTTGGAAGTTTTATTTGGTCTCAGTTTCAGAGGAGAGAGATTAGAGTTTCATAAAGAAAAACAGTAATGCCAGAATCTTCAGGATCAAGCTTCTGTTTAGAGAATTCTCTTCCAAGGAGTCTCTCTGTTTCTCTGTATCAGATTAAGAGGTCAGGGCTTTAAAACTACGACAGAATGAAAGCTTATTTTATAAAGATAAATATGAATAATGTCTTATGCCTTTCAAATGCATTTGATCTTCCTTGATTCTAAGTTGAGGGGAGAGGGGGTTTGGAGAAACGGCAGAAGAAGGGGAGGCTTTAAACGCCCCTGAATTCTCGAGCAGTTCTAACGGAGTGGCTGTATGGGAAATTCTTTCCTACGGTTTGCGACGGAGGCTGATGCACCTTGCTCTCTCCAGGCAGATCTGCATAGCCGTGGAAACCCATCACAACAGTTATTAAAAAAAGCATTTCAGTATATTCAGTATGTGTTTGAGGTACTCTTTTGATGAAAATCAATACCCATCATTTTGTATTTATAGGAAACAGAGGCAAAAAGGGGACAGGAAACAAGAGTTTAATGTTTTGTAAGGCTTTAATAGTTCAAGGTTTATAAAAGACTTAAAATTTCTAGAAATCATCCTACATCAGAGAAGAAATGATTGGCCTTGAAATTGTAATGAATCTGCTCCTTAATACCCTGGAGTAAAAAGAACTTACCATATTTTTGCCCTATATTTGCATTAAAAAGCTGATCAGAGAATGAATGGTTTGGCTCTCTGTTATCATCCGTCAGCACCTACAGCTGCGTAAGCTGGGGGAACACAGACTCCCTAATGCTCCTTCTGTGTCCAGTTCTGGGCTCCCCAGTTCAAGAAAGACGAGGAACTCCTAGAAAGAGTCCAGAGGAGAGCTACTAGAATGATAAAGGGACTGGAGCATCTCCCCTACGAGGAAAGGCTGAGAGAGTTGGGCTTGTTCAGCCTGAAGAAGAGAAGACTGAGAGGGGATCTCATCAACGCATACAAATATCTTAAGGGCGGAAGTCACGAGGATGGAAGCAGTCTGTTTGCAGTGGTGTCCAGCGACAGGACTAGGGGCAATGGATGCAAACTGAAACACGAGAGGTTTCAGTTGAATATGAGGAAAAACTTCTTCACTCTGAGGGTGGCAGAGCACTGGAACAGGCTGCCCAGGGAGGTTGTGGAGTCTCCTTCTCTGGAGATATTCAAAGCCCGCCTGGATGAAGTCCTGTGTAGCATGCTCTAGGTGAGCCTGCTTTAGCAGGGGGGTTGGACTAGATGATCTCCTGAGGTCCCTTCCAACCCTTACGATTCTGTGATTCTGTGAGACTGCCCAAGGCAAAGACATGCATGGGGAACAATGGCTAGTGAAGGTTCCATTTGGGCGATGTAATGTAGATAATAAAATACACTTTGTTTATTAGGTGAAAAATATTTCATTTCAGAATTTTGGTATAGGTCCGAGACTGCCGCTTGGTTAGCCTCCTTGATCTGGCCCTGGAGAAGGACTACGTGCGCTCAAAAGTTGCCGAGTACATGAACCACCTCATTGATATCGGTGTAGCAGGCTTCCGGATTGACGCTGCCAAGCATATGTGGCCTGGGGATGTGAAGGCGATTTTAGACCAGCTGAAGGACCTGAATACGAAATGGTTTTCTGCAGGAACAAAACCTTTCATTTACCAAGAGGTAATCTTGATTCTTCATTTTGTTTAATTGCACTTTACGATCATATTTCTTGCAGGCATGGTATAGACTCAGGCCCGCACTGGAAGCGACGCTTTGCTTGAGTGAAGCCCGAGCAGCTTTCAGACACAAGATCTGTAGAAATTGTCATCAAGATCTAATAACCATAATTTAATCTTCCCACAAATGGTCACTGATATGCAAAATGCCCCAGTTGTTTCAGACCTTCTGGAACTTGGTAACCTGGAAATCCCACTTGAGATTAAATTTACTGCATCAAAGTTAGTGTAAAAATTCTCTTGGTTTAAAAAGCAGATTTCGCTCCCTGAATTTTAAGTTCTGGATAATATATTACAACGGGAGATGTAAATGGTGATTACGGTCTGAAGCTTTGTTTTCCAATGGCATAACTGGTGTTGCTCAACACTCTGAATTTGTGTTTTACATCTGATAACAAATCCTAACGAGACCTTAAGCGGCAGGTAATGGCCGGTTGCAGTCAGCAGAAGCTACAGTTATCAAAGCAATATGCTGCCGGCAAGGTCTAGGGTGGCAAATTGGGAAACTCTTTAGCTGCACAGTGAAACGAGGTTGCCCATGTGCTGGAAGCAGAGGCATCAGTAACTGGACTAAATGTGAAGTTGGTATGGTCCAAACCTAATCGTGTGGTAGTGATCAGTCAGGGTATGGAGATTTAGGATGAAGATGGAAAACAAGTTCACAGCTAGGCTGAGATAAAATGAAGAAAATCGCTTTAAACACAGTTTTCCAAGTAAGCCAAATAATATCCTTAGCTCAAGTAGGGCTTCTTCCTTAAAACAAGGCCTAGAGCAATGCCTTTAACTTGTTTGGCAGAAAGGAATGCTCTATCTTTCTGTACCAGGTAATCGACCTGGGGGGGGAGCCGATCAAAAGCAGCGACTACTTTGGGAACGGCCGAGTGACGGAGTTTAAATACGGTGCAAAACTGGGGACAGTGATCCGCAAGTGGAACGGAGAAAAGATGGCCTACTTGAAGTGAGGAGGAAGACCCTGTGAGTGACTGGGGGTATGCCGGGGGCGCCGGGTGGCAGGGTGGCTTCAAGGCTTTGTGTTTTTGGCTAGGAACTGGGGAGAAGGCTGGGGCTTTGTGCCTTCCGACAGAGCCCTGGTCTTTGTGGATAATCACGACAACCAGCGGGGGCACGGGGCCGGTGGAGCTTCCATTCTGACCTTCTGGGACCCCAGGTGAGGGATCGCTCTTGTCTGGGTGACGCTCCTTCCTCTTGCTTGTTTGCCTATCGGCTCCCTGGCACGGCTTCTCTTTCCTCGTCTCATTACTTCTTTTGTCTAACGAACAGGCTTTATAAAATGGCGGTTGGTTTCATGCTTGCTCATCCGTACGGCTTCACGCGTGTGATGTCAAGTTTTCGCTGGCCAAGATATTTTGTAAATGGACGGGTAAGCCTGTAACGAGGTAAAGAAGCTAAAATTGCGGTGAATGAGGATGGGAACAGGGCTGGAGAAGCGGTCCAGTGCATTTGAATTTGTTAAGTGATTTCTCTGTCCCCTGTTGGATCTAGCAGGTGGAAATCTGATGCTCCATCCTAGCTTTTCTCCGCAGAGAGGCCCTCTGTGTTTTCAGTGGGAAGTTGTAAACGTCTCTCTTTTTTCATTACAGGACGTCAACGACTGGATTGGACCACCAAGTCACTCGGATGGATCAGTAAAGCCTGTTACAATCAACGCCGACACTACCTGTGGCAACGACTGGGTTTGTGAGCATCGCTGGCGTCAAATAAAGTAGGACGCTGTGGAGAAAACCTAAGTAAAAGCAGTGGCTTTTGCTTCATGTTCCTCGTGGCTTTAGAGCTCTTGCCGCCACGGTGACAGCTGTTCCTTGCATTTCCAGGAACATGGTTATCTTCCGTAACGTGGTGGACGGTCAGCCTTTCTCCAACTGGTGGGACAACGGGAGCAATCAAGTAGCTTTTGGCCGTGGTGATAAAGGCTTCATCGTTTTTAATAATGATGACTGGTAAGTCAGAGAGGAATAAATTCTACTTCTAGTTAGCAGAGAAAGCTTTTCAGCTGTTGTGAGCTCCAAGAGAGCTTTGTAACAGAGGCTTCCCCCGTCTCGGTTGTTCTCAGTTCGAACTTGGCCCTCTCCACTCTCCCAGCAGCACTCGCCACTCGCCGAGGTTAGGCCTTGTGCTCTTGCTGTTTCCCAGTTCCTGATGTGGGCTGTGTCACTGAAGAGCATGGTCATCCAGCAGCCTCTGAACTTAGAGAAACGAGGGAGCTTGGCAACTTGGGGAAATGGTCCAGAAGTGGCAGCTTTTAAAAACTGTCTTGCAGTCTTGTACGCAAGAGCGAGATGATTTAAGAGAGCGGGAGTGTGTCGGCTTTATAATTAGAAGCAGGTTGGGGTGATGAGCGATTTGAAGGATGTAGTGGTTGAGTTCTCAGTTAACTTTGTCCCCCAGCCTGCTGTGCTGTCCATCACAACAGTTCCTTTTGGACATCCTGCAAAGACTTGAGTGAAGTTTTGGTAGAGCTGACAGGTTTTTAGGCTATTTCGGCGTGTTCTTCAAGGGTACTGTGATGCCGGGAATACAATATCTGTGTGGAATCTGGCATTTCTTGAGTACCTTTAAGCTCCTTAAAAAACAGGCTACTAACAGAGATGTTTCTGAGGACTTGTAATGGGGTAGCCTGAAAAAGCTAACTGGGGTTTGGCGGGGAAAAATGAAAATTGCACTGGAGCGCAATGTGAAGTTCTGGAGTTCAAGTCTTAAAGTCCCTGGAGGGTAAGAACACCCAAGCTTCCTGTCATTGCTGGTAAATACATAAATACTGCTATATTAATTAATTTATTTACATACTTATTTTCCTTCATTGTTAAAGGAGCGTAATCTGTGTGATTAGGACCAGATTCTTTTAAGTGCCCACAATGTAAAAGAGCTTTTACAGCCCTAGAGCTTTGTCGTTTTGTGGGAGAGTCGATTCTGGAGTGTCTAGAGAAGTGCTGCAGAATAAGAGCTCCAGAATCACCCAACGTCTGACGGGAGTTGCGAAGCATCTCAGAGCCCAAATAATCCTCCTTGCATTTCGATATCTTCCAAAGGTCTCTGAATGTAACTCTGCAGACGGGTCTGCCTGCTGGCACTTACTGCGATGTCATTTCTGGGCAAATGGAAGGCGACGCCTGCACCGCAGTTGAGGTTCGTGTTGCTGATGATGGCATGGCTAATTTCCTGATTAGTAACAAGGATGAAGACCCGTTCGTTGCCATTCATGTTGACGCTAAATTGTAACCAGACCACTTGTGCACAGGGTGTTCCTTCTCTTGTGTATTTTTGCTGATAGCGTGCAAGGTGGCCTGATTGTCTTGGCTCTCCAGCACCGAGTGAGCCGTGATAGAGCAAAGCGCGTTGGCTTGTAGTAATGAAACACCAAGTAGCCGCTATACAGGGGCAGGAGCTAGGGGTGCTGGCGCAGACCTGGACAAGGCGGGGTACGCCTGCTTGTCTTCGTAATTGCACTTTATTCAGTTAAATTACTAATAAAAAATGAAAGGAGAAAACTGAAGTGGCTTAATTTTAAATTGTGCTGCTGTAAGTGGAAATGGAGTTCTCTTTATGGGGAAGCCAGACAGGGAATTAACAGCATGTCCGAAAATGAAGAGAAGTCACCTTTGAGATGGAGCATGGCACAGCTCGAGTTGATGCCGAGTTACAGCTCAGCTGAAGCTGTGTTTCTTGTGTTGGTCTGTGCATTTACTGTTCCCCTCCATGTGCGATTCCCCAGTATTCGAGCATGAGTGATTCTCTGTATTTAGTGAATAATAAATGGCAATCAAATTAAGGAGTAATGCCTTTTCCCTCAATGAATCGGATTGTAACTTCATCACGGCATCACTAGAGGCAATGTCGTGGCGGGTTTTAAGGGCCCAGAAACATGGGAGAAAACAAAACAAATAAAAAAAACCCAAACCAACACCTGGGTAAGTTAAAATGCAGCATTTCCAAGGCCAGCTCACACACGCATCCCCCCCGTACCCCAGAGTGGCTGCGCTGCGGGCAGTTGGCTCTGAGCGGTGCCTACGCACGCAGGCGGTTTATCCCTGGGGGGTCTGGGCCGCCAGAGGAAGCCGGGCCATACCCGTTGGGTATTGCAGGCCACGCCCACAGCAGGG